GCCAGGTCAAGCACACAGTGTGCATTCAGTGGACACGCCTCAGGAATACCTAGCTGGAGCCCAACTTGATCAAAACATACTAAGCTGCTGTCAACTGTGTGCTGGGAACTCCCTCCCCAGAGATATTAGGATATTTCATAGCTTTAAAATGAGCTTCTCTATTACGACCTAGTGGAGGCTGAGTGTTGTGCCCCTCACTGGGGTCCTCTCCACAAGCTGCTGCTAATGGGAGCAGATGGCCTTCTTTTCCTCCTGTCCTTAGACATTCTCCTTTGCTAACTGAGGTCGAGGTCAGTCTCTGCTGTTTGGTCTGGAAGCCCATCTGAAGAGGAAATGGGAGTGTGGTGGCCAAAGACTCACTGTTGTTCTGAAGAACAGAAGCCAGCCCTTAGTTCTCACGCTTCTCAGGCCAGGAAAAATGGCCTTCTTCCATACATGGTGGGTGACCCACAAAAGACAAGAAGCCTGGAGTCCTGCCCTTGGCCAGCAGGTGGAGAGAGGGGCGATTGTGTGACTGGTCTGGAGGGAAGGGGGCGGCGCTAAAACAGCCGGGGATCCTTTCCCGGCTCCCTTCACACACTGGAGAGCTGAGGTTCAGACTCGGCTCCCCCGTTCCTAGCATCCTATGCTCTTAAAACTCAAGGTGGTCATCTTCAGACCAAGTAAAATATTATTTATTGTATTTAGCAACTCCTAGTCTTTCCAAAATTGGGGGCTTGGCAGAATTATGGAAATGTTTTTCTTCCCACCTAAGGGATTTGATTAAAATGTGTATTTGATATCATATTATTTGATTTCAGGGCAGTAGCAAGAAAATTACCTAAGACATATAATTTTGTGGCTGGTCTAATCACAGCCAGTGCTGAATGCTGATCAGAATGCAGGAAGACTAGGACTTTCCTTTTCCTGGCATGTTTCATTCTTTTTTTTTTTTTTAGCCCCTTCTACGTTTTAGACACTGGAAACAAAGCGATGAGACACAGCTCCTACCCTCTCAAAGCTCATGGAGTTTAATTATTTGAGTTTAAACCCAAACCATATGTTCAGGTTGCCCAAAGAGACTCTGAAAATTCCTGTGTGCAGTAAGGAAGGTAGAACTGTTGGGAATCTACTGTTGAGTCTGAAAGTTCCTTCCAGGTAGGGGGAAATATTACTAAAACAGCAGAGGGGCGTGGTGGGCACTGTGTTGTGGTAGCTGGTACCCAGTGATCGTGAGAGAGCCAGCACCGTATGCTGGGCCTCCATGAAGGTGTCAGGGCTCTGTCTCCAGCCTGTGGTGGCATCTGGAAGGTAGTTCAAGTGACTAAGCCTCAGTTTCTTCTGTCTTCCCCAGATAAGGTTGAGTCATCTCCCAGGTGAGCCCATGGTGAGCATGTGCTGGCATCTTCTAATCCTCTTGGTACAATGAACTGGGAGTCTGTTAGCAAGAGAGAAGATAAGACACAAGGATGATGATATCTTTTATGGTTGTGGAGAATGGTACCTTCTTGGGTACCATCCTATCCAGTTAAGCCACGGCAGAGGGTACTGGCCCTCTGATTACTTCTGGTTTCTTTTGGTGGTGGCTGTTTTCTTTGGTTGCTGGCCAGCATCATGCTCCCTGCTTTTCCTCCTCTGCTGGTGGACCTGCCACAGCTCAGCCAGACACCAAGGAGAGATGCCAGTCAGAAGCAAAGCAGGTGCCCACTGGCCTAGTCCCTTACTTTGTCGCCCTCCACAGAACAGACACACATACCCCAAAACAATGATGCATTTAGACAAGGCAATGGAAAGGCTCCAGAGGCCACTACAGGCTGGCCCAACTTCAGGAACTGCTTTTTTAATAGCTATAGAAGGAGATCAGACCATTCTTGGCTTGGCTCTTATGTGAAACTCAATCCAGAGCACACCTCACCTTCCATTTGGCCTCTGGACATAACCCACAGCCAAGCTGATGGGCCCTGGGAGCACTCCAGATTGAGGACCAGAAAAACCATGCCGTGTTTGCAGCAGATTCAGTGTATCTTACTGTATTCTCTTGCCTGGTGTCTGATGTGCCTATTTAAGAAGTCATGGACTTTAATTCTGTCTCATTAGCTGGTGTCATCAAGCCCATTTGGAATTCAGGGCACAGGTTTGCTTCTAAACCCTGGGATTCGCAGGCCTAGAACAGGGCAGTGTGACAGGATGAGCCAGCCAACCAAGAGTCTCCATTTCCTTTCCTGCAGACACATTTCATTCTTACTGATCAGTATTTGTCAAAGTGATTTTACTGTTTTTCCCCAGGGACACTATGGTTTAGAAATATTTTAAGTTGCACTGATGTTAATAAAGTATTAAGGGCCTCTATGTGCCTCTATGTGCCAGCACTATTCTGAGCCCTGGCTTTAGAGCAGTAAACCACATACACAAAACCCTGCCCCTGAGAAGTTTCAAGTCTAGGATGGAGACGGAGAACAGTCACAATAACTTAGAAAACTACTAGGTTGAACCATATGAAATGGCCATTTTTATAGGTAAAAAATGGCCAAATATTGGCAGTTTCATATGACTCAAAGTAATCTATTTGATGTTAGTAATAAGTGCTAAGGAGAAATAAAGCCTGGAAGGAGGGTAGCAAGGAGGGGAGAGAGAGGTGGTAGAAATTTTAACTAGATTGGAACGGAAGACCCCAGCGAGAAGGGGCATTTGCAGAGGCCCTGGAAGCCGTCTGGAAGGAGGGCACCGTGGGGGACAGGGAGGGCAGGTGCGAAGGCCAGACAGGGCCGGTGTGTCCCAGGAGAGCCAGGGTGGCAGGGCAGAGAGAGCAGGGTGAGAAAGGCAGAGGTGAGTTCAGACAGGTGATAAGGGGCCGGGCCACACAGGGCCTCGAAGGGAGAGAAAGCTGGATTTTACTCAGAGAGATGGGAGACTTTTATGGGCTTTTTCGCAATAATTTTACTAGAATCTGTTGGGATGATGTTTGTGACTAAGGAATGCTTGTTCGGGCCGAGGAACCGCTGCTCAGGCTGCTTAGAAGCTCTCCTGGGCCCCGAGGGCAGTGAGGGAGGACTAAGTGTGGCAGACCCCTGAGAAGCCACCTGAATCACTATACTTTCTGAAATTCCTTTGGTAGAAAAGCCTTTTTCTGAATACCCAGGAAGATGATAAAAGTCATTTTTTTCTTGCTTCCCTGCAGGCCTGTTTTCCTTCTCTGAGTCATACATAGGCCTTGCATTTTCCTGGCATTAACCATGTGGATGGCAACTCTGATGAGTGCGGGGGAGAGGTCCACCAGCCAGGGCAGGGGAGAGCGGCGACTTCCTCCCCCTGACCCCCGGCCCTCTGAGACTTGGGATAAGACACCCTGTGTTTGTCTAGGCTGGCTGCCCGGGTTGGGAGTGCGTGGTTTCGGCACACATCACGTCTGCTGGGTCTTGCAGACACACCACAGCCCACTTTTTATTACCCTGTGGGCTTATTAATATTCAAGCTAAGGATTTTGGCGAACTGATAAGCATGGTACCTTAGATGATAAAAAAAGTCTCCTGCTGTCCTCATTCACAGAGTGATGGGCCGGGAGCAGCTGCAAGATTTTAGCATGGCCTGAAGCTCTTGAGGAGCCTTGTCTGAGCTCTCAGGAAAGAGACACCTAGGAGAGTGAAGGAGCGTACTGGAGTGAATGTTCCAGACTGTGCTGTGAAAAGGGGTCTGACGATATGAAAATAAGGATTATATTATTTAATTGCTTTAGAACTGCCTACTTCCCAGAAGGATCTGAGACAGCCAAATTAGGGTATTTCGTGTGTCTTCAACCAACCAGAGCCCAGCACAGGGTAGCAGAGCTGCTATGATGTGACAGCAAACTCCATGCTTTGTCTTCTGTCCCTCTCATATTAAAATGCATTAATTGTACTTATTGGGTTTGTTTAAGCCAGGTAATACAAATGACGTGTGCAATTAATATTTAATTGTAGCCACAATTCAAATATGAACCCTCTGGTCTTTTAAAGGGAAGAGCGCTAATGCTCCCTTGCCCAGGGCCTGCCCTAGAGCGGGACAGCAGAGGCTGCCGGCCAGAGTGCCTCTGAGTCCCTGGAGAAGTCCCTGCGGGGCGGCTTCACAGTTCCCAGGGTGGGAACTTAGGACCAAGGTTCCATGTACCTTGGGTGAGGTTTCCTAGGGAATGAGCTGGGGATTCGTCGAGATTTATCATAGGCCTTAGAAAGACGAAAGAATTAGCACAGTTTTGGATCTCCCCAGCTGAGTAAGATCTGTGCCAGTGGCGACAAGTTTATTCTTTCAAGGGTGCTAAATTGTAGCCTGGGTTCTCCCCCTGTCTCCAAATTATTACACCTTTCAAAATGTACCCTCAGCAACAAGCTGCCCTGCTTATCCATAACTGGTCAACTTTAATCTGCATGTGCTTCCACGGCGGTCCGGGGAGGGCGGGGTCTGCCAAAGGCCTTACCCTATTGCCAGGCCCTGTGTTCAGTTTTGTGGTTATTGTTATGGACATAGAGAGTACTCTTTATAGACTTTAATACTTACTACCACCTTACAAGGATTAGCCCATTTTACAGGTGAAGAATCATGTTAGACAGGTTGAGAGACTTTTCTAAGGCCACCCAGCTCACAGATGGCAGAGCTTGGATTCAAACCTCTACCTTACTCCAGAGTCAGAGCGCTTAACTACTAACGGACCCACCTCTGAATTTAGTGAGTCTTTGCTGTGATCCATTATCTTGCTGGTTTCTGTCCTAGCCTCACACCAGACTATAGGGGCTTTTCTGCTGTGTGATTTCTTGCCTTATTAGTGGGTTCACATTCCAACATGTACAAAAGAGGCTAAAAATATTTCTAATAAAGAGATGACATTTCTTAATCAGGTCAGATTAGTTGCATAAAACAGTCCCTAACACTTGCCATGTGGGACGGATGCCACAGCCTAAAGCAGGCGAATCAGGTAACAGTTAGAACCCATCTGTACGTTACTCGCTTTGCCAGAGCCGGGTTTCACCTGTCTTCTCTCCTGCCCTCAGGCCTGTTCCTGATCCTTGGTTTGATCCTCTACCCTGCGGGCTGGGGCTGCCAGAAGGCGATAAGCTACTGCGGACACTATGCATCGGCCTACAAGCCTGGAGACTGCTCCCTGGGCTGGGCCTTCTACACCGCCATCGGTGGCACAGTCCTCACCTTCATCTGCGCCATCTTCTCCGCGCAAGCAGAGATTGCAACTTCCAGTGACAAAGTGCAGGAAGAAATCGAAGAGGGGAAAAACCTTATCTGCCTCCTTTAGTCTGGAAGAGACGTTAATGCCATTTTCTTCCTTGTGTAACCTTGTGAAACAGTCCACCTCTGGTTTTGTCATCTGAGTCAAGTGAAGAACTAGTCTTTACGTACCAGAGCCACATTCCACAGCCCCGAGCCTTACCAGGACCCACGAGAGGCAACTTCCAGCTGAGCATAAGGACTGCACGTGAGGGCCGCAGTGCAAATGATAAGGGATGGAACATGAAAACAGTACATAAACCCTGACATACGGCTGACAAGCTCTGTCAGACTCCATCTCCCCCAGGGCCCAATGAAGGATAATGATCTAAAGCATTAAAGCAGCAGTTTCTCTGGTAACAGAAGAGACTGTTAGCCAGATTTACAGGCTGTTTTGAGAAGCATTTCTGCCACAAGCTTGCATACCTGTGAGCATCTCTGCCTGAGGATGAGGTTTGGGGGTTGGTGTTTTTGTTTCTGTCTAGTTCTTTCACGTTGTCTCAGTTGGAGACTACAGCGCAGACTACACACCTACTGGGGATAGGATGTGTGCTAAAGGGCAGAGCAGGACACTGTCTCTTGCTTAGCTGACAAAGGGGTCGGCAGGGACAGTTGGAATCCTGTTCTGGAACTTATTCTAGGCTGAATTCCAGGGTGAGGTGGATCAATCGAACTGTCACTCCAAGATTTTAGAAATTTGAGTAAAGAAAGAATAAGGATCTGTACAATCATGAGAATAACAGTACAAAATTCTGCTAGTGAAGACAAATTCATTCCACTTTCCAGCAGCCGGGCCAGCGCCACTACTGGCCCAGTCTCTTCTTTCCCCGGAGAGCACGTGTTCTTCTCCTAGGGTTAGGATGGTGCTTTGACTGCCAAAGGAAACCTCACTGTTGCCTCGTTCCAGGGACAGAGGTCTCCAAGCCAGCTGTGACTCATTCCCATGTTCCCTGGGAGAACTTGCCAGAATCTCAGCACTTGCGAGGAGACCTTTTCCCACTGTTTGGTAACCATGCTGTAGTCAGCTGTATTTCCAACCCCAGCAGCAGCAGAATGGCATTCGTTGCAGAAAAAAAGGAGCTAGTCATGGGAGTGAAGTTTTTCTAGTTACTGGTGTTGATCCTGAAAGCAGACTGAAATAACATTCAGTTGCTGCCACTGGCGAGTTGCATCAGAGGCTTCATTCCCAGGAAAGCAGAGTAGAAAGTTAATGCAAAAAGAAGAGCTAGACCAAGCTCATAGCACCTGCCTGCACCTGTCTACAAAAAGAATTGACTACCACTATTGAAAAGGATTCAGGGGCTTTTAATCTAGTTTCTATAAGTTACCAATATAATTGATTCAGGAATGGTATTAGCCAACACCTCAAATTTACTCTGGAATGATTTAAGTGGCCAGAAAACCTAGTCTCTTATTACCTTGAGCTTCAGAATTGCAGAATGATATAGAAACACTCCTTAGCAACTTAAGCAAGTAGAGTGGACCTGCCAGACTTCTGGAAGGATTGAAAGTATAGGTCTCTTTGGGTTTATGAATCTGCTCACTTGAGGACTGGCTTTGTTTTGAAAATTTAACAAATAATTCCTACGCACCTTCTCTGGGCAAGGTATTGTGTTCTCAGTGCCACCAGGCATAGAACCGTGATCCAGATTTTACAACCTTGCCCTGAGGAATCATTTTAAAGCTGTGCGAGTCTAACACCATGCCTTGGTGCAGAACAAATAATTGCTTTATATATAGATGGACTTGCATTCCTTCCTGGCCTTTGGCCTATACCAGAATCATCTTATCTCACGGATGAAGAGCTAAGGGCAGGAGGAATAGGAGTGCCAAACCAGGCCTTACTGAGTTCACCGTTCTTAGAGCCAAGTTCAGAATAAGCAAAATGTAAATCCTGTGACTTTTTTTGAAAAGAGAAGGGGTAAATACGCTCCTCATAGCAGCCTACAGTAAAGGCTCGGGAAAGAGTAACCCCATCTGTGACACCACACAGAAACAGGTTCCGGCACCACTGGACAGGGCTCCCGTCCCTGACTGTGCGTTTCTGTGCCCTAACCAAGTCCCCATGCCACCACAGTAACTACTTTTCATTAAAAAAAAGCAATTCCCTTCATCAGGCAAATAATCTTGATAAAGACAAATTTTTTTAAAAAACTTATCGAAAGATTCACCCTACTTTTTTTTCAGTACGAAATAGAGAACCCATTATCTAACACTAATTTTACACTCTCACACTCCTTACAGACGAGTCATAAGCCAGAGGCTTCTCTGAGCGTATCCACCTTCTTTGCTGCCCGATGCTTGCTGGCTAAGGTGGTGGCATATCCTAGGTCACCCTGACAACAAAAGTCACCAAGGAGAACATGACCTCTCAGCCAGAAGAAAGTCACTTGACAGTGTTTACTTCATTAGTCTGAATGCTGCAGAAGACAAGAAAAAACACATGCACACACACAAAACCCCAAACCACTAGAAATGATGGAAACACTGACATAGTAAGCAGAGCAGAGACCGAGTAAAAGGTAACGGGCTTTTAAGCCTTCAGTCCATTAGCCAGGCTTTGGTTGGGATGAATGGAACATCCAGAATCCTGCTAGTCTAGACCAAAACTGCACAGCTGTTTAAAAACCACTGAATATGAGGAATGTGTGAGAAATATGTTAAAACAATTAGACTGATTGTTGACCCACACCTATTTCTCTAATAAATTTCTATCAATCACCTAATTGCCTCAGTCTAAAAATCTAATATACCTGGGCCATTATACTACCAGAAAAGTCTTATTTATTTTTGCTTGTGTCTGTGCTTAAAGTTTTATGATGGGCTGTGATTCTCAACGAACTCCAAGAAGGCAGAAATCTTCGCCTTGGAGTCTGTGGATTCTTTAAACCTGTGTGCTAATTCAGCAATGTTACATGAAGTGTGTGAGGGTTTTCTATAGTTTTCAAACATCTGTGGTGTAATGATCTTTGTTAAACATGTATTCTGTAAAGTGCCATAGTCTTTTTTTATGTGTAGCATATTTAAAATATATATATGTATATTATACATACACAAGTCTGTGTGAAAGATGTGCAATAACAAAGGTGTATGTATGTTTTGTTTTTAGGAAACTGGACAGGAGTCAGAACAGGGATTGTTTCTGTTTTGGCAAAGGAGAGTTCAACATTTTTGCCTTCATGGCCTCGTCATTAACCCATGACAATTTTAATGCTACACAAACCTATGTGAAGAAAAGACTGGTATGAAATCATTTTGTCCTGGGTCTAAATTAAAATAATCACTAGTTTATGTGAAAGTCATGCCAGCAAGCAGGCCCAGTTAACGCTAGTCTTTCATGTGAAATGTGAAGCTGCCAGGCTGCCTTTTCTGTTAGTGTGATAATTAGTAGCTGGTACATAATCACTAGGGAGCTATTTCTTAACATGCTTTGATAGACCATGTTAATGCTAGACCACTATTTAAGGGCTAATCTCACACCTTCTTAGCCATAAGAGTCTGGCTTAGAACAGACTTCTCTGTGCAATAACGTGGCCACTGGAACCCCTGGCCTGCATTTGTGCTTGGGCAGCAATGCCTCCCAAGGGCCAAAAGAGTTCAAGGCGCGACTGGGATTTCTTCTGAGACTGTGGTGCAGCTCCTTCCAAGGCTGGGGGTCATTAGGTGCTTTGGAGGAACTCAGCACCACTTGCTATTCAACAGCCACTTGAGCCAAATATAAAATTTTATTTACCGCTGATGGACTCAGTTTGAGCCTTCAAATTTGTGGTTATCCTATTAAATTGTAAACTAATACATTGTTTGTCTAGCATTGATTAGGTTTCTGTGCATATATATGTATTTTCACATGTCCTCTCCTCCCCAGATCTGAATTAAACCAGACTTTGCAAACTCATTCTGATTCTTTCAATTCTAAGTATATTGGTTTCATTATGATGTGTATAATTTGATTAAGAAAATACCTACCAAATTTTATTTCAAACACTAACTTATATGTTATAATACCTGATATAAAATACCTTATATCGAGTATTTTAACTATTCCATTCACTAGTAACATACATATCCCTACCATAGATTAGCTTTAACTTCAAGGTAAGTACATATTTCTTCCTTGGAGAAGCATCAATGTAATTATAAATAGGAAAAAAAAAAACCTCTCAAATACTATATAAATATCTTATTCTGAGGAGGACCAGCCCTGAGCTAACATCCAATGCCAATCCTCTTTTTTGTGGAGGAAGACTGGCCCTGGGCTAACATCCGTGCCCATCTTCCTCTACTTTTTATGGGACGCCACCACAGCATGGCTTGACAAGCAGTGCATTGGTGCGTGCCTGGGATCCAAACCGGCGAACCCCGGGCCGCCGCAGCAGAGTGCGCGCACTTAACCGTTTGCGCCACCGGGCCGGCCCCCAAATATTTTATTTTAAAGTAAAACTAAGAAATATGAAAATGCTTCAAACTATTAAAGAGGTTTAAAAAATGTAAAGAAATATGTATAATAATGACAAGGAAAAAAGTCAATTGAAGGGCACATTCTCCTCTTCTAACAAAAATACCAAAATTAAAAGCCAGTCATGTGGCCGGCCCCATGGCTTAGTTAAGTGCGCGTGCTCCGCTGCTGGTGGCCTGAGTTCGGATCCGGGGCGCGCACCAACGCACCTGCTTCTCCAGCCATGCTGAGGCCGTGTCCCACATACAGCAACTAGAAGGATGTGCAACTATGACATACAACTATCTACTGGGGCTTTGGGGAGAAAAAAGGAGGAGGATTGGCAATAGACGTTAGCTCAGAGCCGGTCTTCCTCAGCAAAAAGAGGAGGATTAGCATGGATGTTAGCTCAGGGCTGATCTTCCTCACAAAAAAAAAAAAGCCAATCATGGAGCAGTTCCACATCCACATTTCCTGAAGGTAATCCTGGCCATAAAAAGCCTCACCCAGAGGCAGACTTCTAATTTATAAACGCAAAGATGACACTAACAACCCTTTCCATAAACTCTGATTCAATGCTCCATATCCCGTGGAACGCTTATCTAATAGAATTAACAATGACTATTTGTTTTTCCTGATCTAAGGCCTGTGACAGCTGAAACCACATTTATGCTTTGGCTTCTAAACATACCTGACACCTGCCAGGTTTCTAATAGAAATCAAAATTAAAAGCTGACGAAATTATCCAAATCACTAAAGAAAACAATTTTCCAAATTATGATCTAAATAATCCAAGCAAAACTGGGAATTTTCAGTTACTTTTTCAGCTGGTGTTACATCTTTCTCAGAAGTTACTCCACAAGAGAAAGGAGCCTGGCTTTAAATTTCAGCAGAGGCTGGGGAACCCTCACGTCTGCTTCCCGTTTCACCCTTAGTTTTTACTTAGCAATTCTGCTTCCGGGTCCACTTTCCATGATGGCTCTTCCTGGAACACACTGCATTCAGCTTACTCCTAGC